CTCTGAAGTAAAAGGTGGAGGCAGGCAGCCGAGTCCCAAGGTGTCCTGCATTGGTGTCCATCCCACACCACAGATTGCTGCCTACACATGCTGGAATGCAGGGGGACAGGGCAGGAGCAATCAGCCCTATGGACAAGGGGGCACGATCCCAGCACATAGCACCAAGTGACTCCCTAAACACCCATTTCCAGCTCACTGCTGAGCCCGTGCCCCTGAGCCAGGGGTGCCCAGTCACCCCACAAGGGCTGCAGGAGCAGGGCAGATCGCCTTCCTGACTTGTGGAGACACAGCTGCAGGGCAGGAGAGCTCTGCGTACTTGCTTTTCAGCTGAGCAGAGTTCTGCAGCAAGACTTGGACAAACATTTTCTGAGCTCTGCTCCATGCCTCCCCAGCCTGATGCTGCAAGCTCTTCCCAAACCCCCAGTGGGCCAGATCCAGGGCACAAGCTCAGGGCTGCCCTGCAGCAGAGTGCGCACAGGCCTGCCACTCTTCTGCTACGCGGGAGTTTTGCTGGTGTCCTGGGCTGGGCCTCCGAGCCAGAGGGGCTGGTGCTGGCCCCACCAAGCAGAGGAGAAAAGGCTGGGTTCAGGCTGGAAAGCACATGCCTCGTGGGGTGGGGAGCGGGACTAAGGCATCTCACCACGCTGCCTTAGGTGTGCAAATCCAGTGGGAGACAGAGAGAAGCCACAGAGCAGCTGCAGACAGATGTGCAGGCTGTTCTCCAGGGACAGCACAAGCCCCAGCAGAACTCTGCCCAATCCTGCTCTGGGCCCCTGGGTTAGGGAGCTGGGGGCTCGACCTGCCCCATAGCAGCTGGACCTTCGTACCTCCTTCCCTGCAACCGCAAAGCCTTCATCTCACATTGTAGCAGTAGGGGAAAGAGCAGAGCTAAGGGCCCCCGAAGCCTGGCACCCCACATTCCCAACTGCTAGTGGTCTTGGCAGAGGGACAGAAAACATCCTGCACACTCACCCCACGGCCCCTCCCCAGCACCCTGCACCATGGTGCTGCGTGGCACCAGAAGCCCTGCAGGACAGGTGGAACACAGACTGCAACTGCTGCTTGGAGCCCCACCAGCTTTTTGGGGTGCACAGCCAGGCTGAGGAGAGTTCTGCTGGGCTTGTGGCAACCACTGGCAGTCCTGGTCCAGCCTGGCTGCTTGCACTCACATTCCTTAGTCTCCACTATCCCGGCAGCATCACACTGCAGCCGGGCTCCCCACAGGAGGGTGATGCAGAGCTGAGTCAGGGCTGTTCCTCCACCTTTGGAGCCCTGCACCAGCTCTGCTCTAAACCCCGTGGGAAAGGCAGACAGCAGCCCAGGGTCCCACCAGGATCACTGCCTCGGGGCCAGGACCCAGGCCCAGACAGTGGGCTGCCATGCCTGCAGCTGCCCAGCACCAGGACAGACACAGGCAGATTTATTCCCAGCATTGGGGTGAGGTGGGGAACACGGGGTGGCGTGCTCCCCCTCTCAGTCAGCCAGGGTCCTGGGCACAACCTCCTGCAGAGCCCAGGCTGGCAGCTCCCCCACTAACTCAGCTCTGCCACCCAGTGTCGCTTCCCAGGGAAATGCCACAGTAATAAATAAGTGTAAAAAGAGACTGATGCACCTTTTAAGCAAAGGAAAACCGTGGGGAGTATTACAACCAGTGAGTCGAGCACAGCCAAGGCACAGAGCAGGGGGCAGGCAGGGTGAGGCCCCTCCTGGGCTGGCCCCACAAAGCCACCCGGCTCAGTGAGCCTGGCCTTGCCGGGCTGTGCTCCTGGCTGTGCCTGTGGCAGCTAGCGGGACAGGGGCGTCTGTTTGAGGGAGATGAGCACCGAGCGCATCCGTGAAACATCCTTGCTCTGCTTGCTGCTCTTGGGGTTGAAATCACAGAGCTGGGCCACCTTCTCCCACTCGGAGCCTGGGGTTTCCTCCTTGGACTCCTTCAGGAATGCTTCCTCTGAGGCCCTGTGGGGAAGTTGAGGGTGGTTAGTGGCAGAACCCTTTCCAAGGAAACCCCTCTGTCTGGGAAACCCCTTGTGTCCCTGCTTCCTGTCCCCTTGCTCCAGCTGATGAGCTCAGCATCCTCCAGAATCTGGAGACACATGATGCTCAAGGCTCCTGTTGGCTGCGCTCACCCAAGACATCATTCACCTAGGAGCACAGGGGTGTCTGCCTGCTTCCAAGACTTCTCTGCCCCCAGAGCTGTCCCCCAAAAGGCACAAGACCCCACAGCTTTGCCTGTTCAGCCAGCCCTCACAGGGACATTTCCAGGACCTACACTTGCTTCCTAAGACTCCACCCTTTGGAGACATTCAGCTGCCTCATCCTCCCTCCAGGACCTCAACACAGCCCAGCACCTCCCAGTATCCCCCCACCCCTTGGCTGGGCAGCCAGTGCTGGGGCCAGGACCCCCAGACCCTGCAGGGCAGGATACAGTCTGTAAGAAGGACATACACATAGCCAATCACATCGGCGTCCGGCTGCTGGTAAAAGGCTTTGTCAGCGATCCTAGCCCCCGAGGCACAGACAGAGAGAGAGTGCGGAGCGGACAGGCAGGCAGAGGGTTAGAAAGAGAGAAACAGAGAGGGGGTTAGCGTCCTCCCACAGAGCGTGACCCACTCATCACAGCATACACAGCACCAGGAAAAGCAGCCGGCGATGGCAGGGCTGCAGAGATAGTGCCCCAACCCTGCCCCGATGTGAGGCCCATGCTGGGGGCAGGAGGCACTGAAATCCCACTGTGATCCCAGTGTGGTCCCAGCCAGGGCAGCTCTGTGCAACCACCAGAGCCACTCGAAGCCTTGGGGCCTCTTCCCTTGCCTGGCGAAGCTGTCTGCACAGGGCTGAGCCCCACTGTGGGGACAGAGGACCCCAGACATCCCAGGAAGGCAGGTCTGGCTGCACAGCAGCTCCCATCGCAGCCCTTGCAGCCATGCTGACCCCAACATACCTGTTATTTGCCCGGTTCTTCTCCATCTGCTCATTCTGACGCAGGTTCCACTCCTCCAGGTCCTTCTTGGCCTTCTCACGCCATGCCTGCTCAGCCACCTTCGATGCTGCATCTAAGGCCAGGGTGAGACAGACCCCATCAGCCAGACTGGCACCCACTAGCAGCCCCTCGGCTGGGAGGACAGCTGCAGCCCCCCAGGACTGTCCCCAGTCCCCAACAGCACTGCCTGAAACATATCACTGCCCAAAGGACAGCAGATCTTTGGTAGGGGCGCCCACACAGCGTAAGGCACGAGATACCTCTCTGGGATGCAGCAGGTGAGGAACTACAAGGGCCCCAACTGCCATGTCACAAGGTGCTACGAGCATGGCCACACACAGCCTTGGGTCTCACCCAGCTCTTCCAGGCGCTTCTTCTGCTCCTCCCTCCACTTGCGGATGCTCTCAGGTTCCTGGGTCAGCCGGTCAGCCTTGGCTATGGCTGCGTAGGCATCTGTGGGGCCGTTGGACTCCTGCAGGACACGAGCACCATCAGCACCAGCTCCTCTCACAGCCCAGCTCAGCCACCTCGAAGGGCTGGCAGCAGGGCAGGATTCCACACTCCCAGCACTCAGACAAGCCAAGGCAGGAGGCAGGGAGGGTCACAGCCTGGAACATCTGGGACAGTGACCCCAAAGCGCTGCTCAAGCTGCTGGTCCCAGCTCCCAGCCCCAGGCCCCACCACCCAGAAAGACCTCCCAGCCTTCCCCTCCTTGACTTGTTGCCAACGCAGCTCTCGTGTTCTCTGGGCAGCCCCACAGCACAGGACAGCCACCAGCTTTGTGACATGCTCCCCACCAGCAGCGGGCTTCCCTGGCCCTGACTTGGGCCAAGGCAGCCCCAGGACAGAGCATCATTACAGGCTTGGCCACAACAGACCGGGACAGCCCAGGCGAGAGGGACGGCCCAGGGGAGGTACTGCGCTCTGCCTGGACACCAGCCCGCAGGAAGAGCCTCCCTCACTCCTCCG